TAATCCTCTCTTCTGGGAAATTATAGATCAGAAAGGAGAAATGAGAGATGGAGGCGCACGCACCCGCTAATAGGCGTTAAGCACATATTGACACAGGGTGTAATCAATCTGGAAGTTAAAAAGAGCTGAACCAGCACGGGCCAGCCAGCCAAAACCCACACAACCTCTTTGGGAAGTTTAAACGAACCCTACCTGCGGCTGGGAGCGGGTTTATCCCTGCCTCCAGCAGCCCTCTTTCAGAGAAAACATCAAAGGAGCTGCGAAGGGAAAATAGAGAGGGTAAACAGGCAAATCCCTTCCCGATGTGGCTGTGGTGCGGGGCAGAGCTAATCCCTGTCTCCACCCTTAACCCTCCCTGAGAGCATCTCCTCCAGACATGTCCTGCTGCCGCCTGTGGCAGGGGATGCTTGAACCCCGTGGCATGGTTGGTCCCTCCAGCATTGCTGGGAGCCCATCCTGGGACCTTGCCTGCTGTTCCGTGGCACCCCAACCACCATGGGGACCTTGTGTTGGGTGCCTACCAGGGATGTCCTCCTCCCACCACGTCCCTGGCCAGCACAGCCCTCCCTAGCTGATCCCCCCATCGTTTCAGCTCCGTTAGCTAATCTCCCTGGCTGGGACCAAAGTCTGAGCCGCCCCACCTGGTTGCCATGGAGAAGGCTGTAATGGTATTTAGGAAAAGCAGCAAAATCATAAAAAAAAAAAAAAAAAAGTGGTGCTTTTAAACCTATTTAAACTTTAAGGAATCATTACCTTCCCCAGAGCCCTCCCGTACCCGCAGGTCCCTCCCCAGGGTCCCTTTGCGTGGGTAAATGCCACCAGCTGGCACAGGCTCCCTGCTCTGTCCCCAGCCGCGCAGGCTGGCCGAGCTGGGGAGGGACTGGTGCTGGTGGCCCTTCCAGGTCTGCCCGAGCCAGGGAGGCTGGTGGGACCCTGGGAGCTCTCTGGTCCATCCCCCCAGGCCAGGCCACCCAGGGCAAGTGGCCCAGGGCCAGCCCTGGGTGCCAGCAGGGACAGCACCCACCTGGCTCAAGCCCTGGGGGGAACGGGGATGTGGCATGGGTGGTGGTGTCACCACTGACAGAGGAAGTATTTTTAGCAAATCTTGCCAAATATTGTCCTCACCTAGAGGAGAGCATCTCCCATTGCCAGGGCAACTGGTGCTCCCACTCCTCATCCCCAGGCAAAAATGTATGAGCCCCGAGAGAGCCGGGATGGGTCACACTGTCATCCCAGAGCTTGTGCCACTCCCTTGGGGACACCTGCAGGGACCAAGATCCCTCCTGGCAGCGATGGGCTTTGCCCCGTGCTCACTGGCTGCCCACATTTCTGCTCATCCCGGTCCCCACCTATTGCGCCGCGCCATTTTTCACTTAAAAAATCCTGCATTACTCAAGATGGGGACCTGGCAGTGGTGGCAAAAGGTTTTTGCAGCTGCTGGCAAAGCTCCCCACTGGTATCTCCGAGCGTCGGTCCATGCCCTGCCCTGGTTGCAGCAGGCTCGTGCGGGGAGTTGAGAAAGGCGGCCGATGCGCCGGCGGCTCTTGGGGATGCCAATTACCACACCAGTGTCGCACGTGGCCACGTGAAACCACATCACCGCCACCAGTCTGGCCGGGCTGGTTGGACTGGGGAGGTGAGGACATCCCTGAGCTGTGACTCAGGGTGGCCAAGGGCTATCACTGGAGGCACAGAGGGGCAATGTCCCAAACCCTGAGTTTGGGGGGAAAAGGGGAGTCCCTGCGAGCAGGGAGGCAGGGAAAGCCTGTCCTAGCGATGGGTGATGGAGGGAGCAGCCTGGTCCTGGGGGCACCCGGCCGGTGGGACGTGGCAGAGGGGCCGCACGCCTTCCTCCTGCCGGAGGTTTGCATGGCCCCAACCGGCCACGCTGCCGGGCTCCCCCTGCCCGTCTGGC